AAAAAAAATGAACGTTATGGTCAAAGTGATTCCTGAGGAACAGTGTAGTTTTGAACTCTAAACCGCACCGAACCGACAAGTCCCTTCACTGGGGGAGAAAGAAAACTTATGTTGTGCCTTTTTCTGCTTAGCACTGAATAAAACCCTCTAGTTTCACTCAAGACCAAGAATTCGGATAATACGAGAAAGCACGCGCCCAGGTAGACATTTCCCAATGATGGTTAGCGGACTCATTCCACCTGCACGACCGGATTGGCGGATTTGGTAGTAACAAAGGGGCTACAGCAATCCGTAAATTGTAGATAGGTTATAAAGTTGTGGGAAAAATTAATGTCAGAAATTGTTGATACCTATTTCTACATTGCAATTCAAATTTTTGGATATTCTCAGATCCTAGAATATTCTGGAAAATTCAAAAATGGAAGAAAAACTCGGAATGGTCTGAGAACATTCTGCCAATAATCGGCTTGTGTCAAAAAGCATGGAACATTGAGTGAATATTCACAATACTTTGCAGCTATCTGGGTCTCCTATAATTTTTCTAATCTCTTAATGTTCAACCACCGACAGGTCAAGAGTCTTGTACCTACTTTATCAACCCACATACCGCCATTTCTCATCCAAAGTTACGTCATATCTTTAATTTTCAAATAAAATATAAAGAGGCAGAAGTTCATAGACCTAAAATTAACTCTTTTAAACTCATGTAACATGCAATGGCCTGCAACCTGATTGTTGAAATTTTTTGTTTGTTGGGACGACATAGATGACATAGGTTAAAATGTGGAGCGTGATTGGTCGGCTATGTCTTATCGCTGCTTTGTCGGGCCTATGTCGGGTTGAACTCACGACAAGCTAACGGCACCTTTTAAGTTTCTGACAGTACGTCGTCCATTCCACCTGACAAAGGCTCGACAAAGCAGCGATAAGACATAGCCGACCAATCACGCTCTGCCTTTTAACTTATGTCATCTATGTCGTCCCGACAAACAAAAAATTTCAACAATCAGGCTGCAGAAGGGCACAGTGATTAAAAACTATTCTGACATGGCTAAGGTCAAGTAAAAAAAGGCCTATTTTAAGGAACTTTCAATTAGAGCAACAATATTGTTGTAAAATGACCGAGTAATGTAGCTTTAGCCCAACATTTAAATTGTAATATTTTCATGTGCATATCTGATCGTCTCTAGGAAACGGGGCCTTGGTGCAGAAAAGTTATTTGGCTGGAGGCGGGAAAGTATTTCGCTTATCTTAACCCAGTTTCATCGACAGATATAAATTTCAAATTCAGTTGGAAGAAATTAAGCCTGGCTTGGCTTGAAATTTGTGTGCTGAAAAAGTCGTGATCCACCCCAAGCCGTGTTATCAATTTTTCATTTTGTGTCTTTTGGTGCCAGGGTCCCTATTCTGTAGGCGGTCGTATATTTTCAAATGCATGTGTTTAAGATGGAAAAACGATTGTTCTTCATTGAAATCTACTTAGGTATTGTACACTGAGTTGGAGAAAAAATTAAAAGGGACCATTTACTTCACGAGGAAGGTAGATGAATCATGCGGAAGCTGGAGCAGATTAAAAAAAAAATTAATAAATAAAATTAAAATTATTAATAAATTATTCATTTTTCTCAAATTGAAGTTTTTTTTTTTTTATTCCACGTGTGATCCAATTTAGAACTAGATACTTAAACCTAATTTCGATTCGATAATTTTATCATTATTACAACAAATTCACAAAGCTGTTAAGCTACCTACATTATTCGCAGCATTACCAAATAGTATGCCTAAAATCTCGTTTGTAAGGAGAGGAGTTTCTCAGTAGGGCATGTGAGAAATTTCATGAAGATTTCGTCCCTCAGCCTATTAGTCTTTTCTTCTTCTTCTCAAATCAAGCTCAGTTTCCTAAATATGTGGAGCAAATACATCTATTTAACCCAGCAATGCCTCATTTCCAGCGCATATAAAGCCAGTATTTTTCTGATGAAAAATTTACGGACATGTATTATCAGTAAAATCCCATATCTTTGCAAAAAGTCAGTTTGTAATCTTCAGGAAACAGAATTGGACCGAGTTTATCAGAAAGGAACCAACCCATATTTTCGAAACAATTGAGTCGAGAATCGTTTTGAGATCCACTAGCCGGATATATTTTCTCCTGCTAAAAACTGAAAGTTGAGAAACAGGCATTAGGTAATTTGTGAAAAGAGGGGCCAAAGTTTATTTTTTAAACGAGCCTTCGTGAGCTGATCGATTGTATGGTTTTATCGCAATAATTTTACCTTAATGACTTACAATGGAGAGGGGTAGCGGCAGTCGAGTGGGCATAGCGCAAATTCAAATCATTCTGAGATTACCGCCAATGACGACGATTGGCCAGTAGCATATCTAGGGGCGCTAGTTGCTGGTTGTGGTGTGGCGTAGAGTACCTGTATAGCGAGAGTATGGACAGATCGCTTCATGGAGGGCTTAGGGCCCAAAAGTGCAGCCACCCTTCTAACCAACTTCTAACGCACAAAATTTCACTGCCAGTCTGCAGATTCCAATTCTAACCATGATGGCAAAGAATGTACAGAAATGAGCGTTCTTCCGCGAAATTGAGTAAATTTATGCAAAAACTGAGTCAAACACGTGCTTAATAAACGACGGTTCATAACAATAGTATTAGTAAATCGTTCTGGATAATTGAAATTCATAGGTTGGCTGCATTTCTGGGCCCTAACTTTATTCGTAAAAACATCGGTGAAGGCCTGATGGATTTTCGGAGTTTCACATCTGTCCATACTCTCGCTATACAGGTACTCTAGTGTGGCGTTGTGGTTGGCCAGAGCCAGAGGTAGGCTGGCTATAAATCGCAGAGACAAATCGTATTCGATAGTGGTTCGATGTATTGTTTGGTTCAATCCAATAGAACATAACCTCATACTCAGTTCATGGATCTTTAGTGGAGAAATTGACAATGAGAAATTTCCTTACAATTTCACTCTTTAGCCATCTGGTACTCGAAAGAATAAGAAGTCAATCACGAAAGACCCGTTACCTCAGATTTTTAAATTGTTATTTGACGCAATCGATATCGATATAATTCCACCTGTTCGATGTATCGAATACGATCCTTTGTGTGTGCTGCCCCCCGGCCTGCCTGCCCAAGCCCAAGCCCAAGCTACGTCAAGACAAAAATGGCTTGGCATCAAGTTTGTAATTTTGTTTGTAACTAACTAGATTTTCATAGCGTCCTATTGTGATGTGTTGTGTAAAATTTCGTTTCTCCAGGCTTCATCTTCTTGTTCAAGTGTTTTCCCGCTAGTAATCGATTCTTCTCGAGAATTTGTTGGAATAATGCATTCACTGTTTCACAAAATATGAACGAGATTACGAGAGGTAATCTGCAGTCAAATTCATAGGTGCATTCTCGCTAGGCCTTCCAACCTCCGCACGACCCTTTGAATAAGCGATTCAAATATTTACTCTTTCAACGATATTCGTATCAAACATTAGTAATTGCCTCCAGTGTCTCCTCGTCCAGCCAATCTTAGTAATGTAGAAACCGTGATGTCCCATCGTCAATCTCGCTTATCTACTTCGCTGTAAGTACCAACTGCCTCACTCCACCAAATTTCTACCTTCTCCACTTGAACTCATGAAAGTAGATCTTTCCCCCTCAGTAAGATACACCCTTTCTCAATCATGGGAAATCTTGGTTGGTTTTTGTACTTTGAATGAAACTTGGAGGACATCCATCGCTGCGCAATGTCCTAACCGTTTTGAAAGCAGATGAATTGGATTTTTCGTCTCTCACAAAATCAAATATGTTACTGAAGATAGTAGTTTGTCTTGAGAACTGGTGTTAGAGCTGGCTAACGCATGTTGTGAGGAAAGCAACTTTGCATAAACTTCAGATCAGGTAATCCTATACTCCGTGAACGTCATGTTGTGTACCCGTGCCACAAGGAGCAAAAGTGACGTTAGGATGTCACCTACTTAAATGGAGATGCTGCATCTACAGTAGGTGTGTCTTTGATAGTCAACGGAGATCTTTTCGGTGAATTGCCCAACTGAGGCTGAGTTACCGTGACGTCTCTTTGTTTACCCTTACTGAACGCTCAATGCTCCATTCACCAGCCACTGAAGGTGCTATGCTGTTGTGGTGAGCATTGAAATGCCAATGCAATCATGGAGTATAAAACATTGTCTCACCGGAGTTTCAAAAACAATCGACAAGATTGCAATGCTCTTACCAGGTAGTTTCTATTCATGCCTACTGTCTATGACGAGCGCACCTGTTTCTGTAGTGGCACCCATGATCTTGGAACTATAAATTGGGTGATTCTGTGCTATGCTATTGGTAAATTTCATAACATAGCAGGAGCAATAATAAGGATACAATGAGGATATTCGGTTTCCTATGGGACTATTGCTGATCAAGGACTTGCATCAAATTCTGAACCAACTGTTTGAAAATCTGCGTCCAGATATGAGACCTAGCCATTTCTCAAGGAAGTTTACTGGAAAAATTTCGCTACCAAGTAGATCATCTATTGTAAAAATTCCAGTGAGATCCCATGTTATGGAAGTTATGATGTAAATAGTAATTGGACAGCTCCACTCCCCGCCTTTTTACCTACTGACCACTTCATGTGTGTACTTCGACTGGTTGCCTATCGAATTTCAACAAGATTGGCTCAAAAGTTTTGTAGGAGGGGCTATTTATACTTTTTATTGGTGAGAGTGGGGGGGGGGGTTTGCAAGAAAACTCAGGAAATAATTGATATTTTCACCTAAAATTAAAGATGCACCCGTGTCTCAATGACGGAATACTCAATTTGGAAAAACTCTTCGGAACATGCAGTCATGCTGCAGTAAATGCGTGGACTACAAATTGAACCGTCTCCCCTACTTGCTGACAACCCCACGGAATGTCTGTATCTTTCTCTTTAATTATAATTTTGTCTTATTTCAGTTTTCAACACACATGCTTACACATTTTTACATTTGTTTTTCTTCAGGAGTCAAAGCTGATAAAATGGGAGCAATGATGAAGCAGCCATAGTTTAAGGAATGTCGATGGAAAATTCCTGTGCAAATCTTGAGCTGAATGAAGTAGACAAAAACATGGAGGTCAGTCACTCAGTTTTCGTGAAGGAGGAGTTTCCAGATTCGGATCCACCATCCGGCCCAGGTATTGAATCCATTGATTTTGACCCGCTAGTGAAATTAGAAGATGGAACTCCTCAAGAAGAAATTCGTATTCCTCAAGAGCTCCAATCAGAATCCACCAGTTCATCTAGTTGCGTGCTCGCTCAAGTAAAAATTGAAGTAGAAGAGGAGGATTACAACATGGTTGACCCGTTACAGAATGATATTGATGTCGCAACCACAGAAGCAGAAGTAAACAGTAATCAATCGCTCAGCAGACTCCACGAGGTTATGGAAGAGGGGGAGATAATAGTTCCTGAAGCAATTCCTTCCAAGGGACAGGCATTAAACTTCCCCAACCAAATAAAACGCGAAGTATGCGAAGAGGATGATCATTTTGTCTCTTTGTTACATCCCATCGTTGAAATTAGGAACGAATTACCCGTGCAATCAAGCGAATATAGGAGATTCTATGACTGCGGAGACTATAGTATTAATATGAGAAGTAATATTCATAATTCATGCAGTGAACAAAAAAAGTCAGAGACTGGTGCAAGCACAGAGCACCGACAACTACCATTCCTTAATCTCAGAGAAAACTCAGCATCTCCCAAAAAGAAATCTCAGAAGGGGAGCAAACGATTTAGTTGCGACCATTGTTCTTCCACATTCACTCAGAAATCAAGTTTAAAGCAACATATCCTGATACACACGGGTGAGAAACCATTTAGTTGCAGTATTTGCCCTGTCTCATTCACTCAAAAATCAGATTTAACACGACATATTGCCGTGCATAGCGGTGAAAAACCATTCGTTTGCTCCTATTGTTCCGCTTCCTTTTCTGTTAAAAGATATTTGAAGGAACATATTGAAATGCATACCCTTGAGAATGCACTGAAATGTAGTTATTGCCCTGCCAGTTTTGCCAGAAAACGCAGTTTAAAACTGCATCTTCTCAAACACACGGGCGAGAAACTTTTTTGTAGTTATTGCTCTGCCTCTTTTGTCTTTCAAAGCCACTTGGAGGAGCATGTAAGAAGTCACACTGGTGAGAAACCGTTTATTTGCAGCGAATGCTCTGCCTCTTTCTCTTGCAAAAGACATCTAAACCACCATGTAGAAAAAGAGCATACTCGTAAGTATCCATTGAAATGCGATTATTGCTCTGCTACTTTTGAGTGGAGAAATAGTTTAAATCGACATTTATTCAAGCATAGAGGTGAAAAACCATTTACTTGTAGTCTATGTCCAGCCTCTTATGCCACTAAAAGCTATTTAGAGGAGCATTTAAGAAGTCACACCGGCGAGAAGCCATTTAGTTGCAGCTATTGTTCAGCCTCTTTCTCATATAAAAGGTATCTAAAGCAACACGAGGAAACGCATACACGTCAGAATATGTTTAAATGCGACCATTGCTCTCAAAACTTCACGTGGAAGAACAGTTTGAAGCGGCACATGTTGCAGCACACTGACAAAAAACCACAAGACACTGAGGGGAAGCCTTTCTGTTGCCCCCAGTGCTCTACCTTTTTCACCTTAAAGAGAAGTTTAAGAAGACATATTCTCAAGTACTGCGGCAAAAAAACATTGGCTTGAAGTCATTTGTCTTGGATGCTACTAAAAGCCATTTGAGAGAGCAAAAATGACTCAGTCACATCGGCAGAGGGACCCATTCTCTTGCAGTCAGCTACCAGCCTCTTTTCTTGAAGAAGAATTCATCGTCATTATGTGCCATAACAAAAAGGAGTGGAATCATCATGCTCTTGTACATCGAGACGCCTGCTCATATGAATGGATAGTAACTACAAGAAATTTTGAAATGTTGGAAGGAGTGATGGTGGTGAAATGAAAGCTCCAACCTGTAAGTAATCAAATTATAGCATTTAGCTCTCGGAAGCAGCGTTCAATTAAGTAGAATCAATTAAGTTCAATTAAATGCGTCCCAAAGCATCGCATTATGTATTCAATAGGAATACGATTTTGAAATAATTAGTTTTGAATCGCAGCTGAGGACATTTAGAATTAGACTAAAAAAAAACTCAAATATTTTGTTTTCCTACCATAAATTACTCATGTGTCTCCTTGATTCATCAGTCAACTGACATTCAAGAGCGAGTTTGTATAGCCCTGGATAGACGATCAAATTCCAAACCATTTCCGATCAAAGTAGACATGCTGATGACTGGTGGTCACCATCTACCATCAAATTTTGATGGGCCGCACTTTTTTGTTCGAAGTAAGATCAGAACGGAGTGCCACCATTCATAATTTCCTGCCACAGGAAATATTTCTGCCAAGTTTTCATTTTAAAACTAAGCAAATTAATGAGTTTAAGACTGATGACTCCCGACACTTTGATGCTACTTTGATCGGAATTGGTTCGGGAATTTGATCGTCTATCCAGGACTTATGGAAAGTGACATCCAAGTAAAAGAGGCAAAAACAGGAGGGAAACAAAACTAAATACTTAAAATTATACATATAAGCTGGCAATGATGTTTGCTTCTGCATCTCACGATTTTTTGCGTTCAATTTTTCTTTTTTTTTTCTTTTTTTCCTCAAGTAGCCTATCAGCTAATCCCATCCAGTTCACCCTCTGTCGAACAGATGTCTACAATTAGGATATTAAGTCCTACCTAAAAATATTTTTCGGGTGGTTTTTAGACAACCGCCATGCAAAGCCCCCAACATTATCTTCATACATGACGTAGTCCGGTAAAGTTTACCTTAAAGTGAAACTAAAATTGTTTGGTGCAGCAAAAAACCTGTTTTGGATGAAAACTATCAATTTCAGTTTCTGATGCCACGCCCTTTCCAGTGCTCTGAGAAACATCGGATACAATTAGCAAGCCATAATTTGCATTATTAATGTCAGTTTAATGAGTGCTTGATCTTAAATACTTCGAGGGATATTAACAATTTCGGCAAACTTTAGCTGCGTTTTTCTCAAATTTTAAATTTCTCGCCCACTAAATTGAAATTTTTGTCAAATGGTCAATTCTTGGAATTTGCAGGTGTTATTTGCACCAAATGATGCAAAAGCAACACTTTTTAGTGGTAAACGTATGTCCATTTCACCATCACAAGCACATTTTCTGGACTACCTATGTCACATATTTTCGTAGGCTTTTCAGTGCCAAAAAATCGAAAAATGGAGATAACAAGGCAAATGCTCTGACCTATGAAGAATATGAGTTGTCCATCAGAAATAATGGTACTGTAATTTTTTAAAACGTCCCAACAGTCTTTTCAAATCTACAGAAATAATAAGAGGAACCCTGAGGATTCATTGTTACCAGCTGTATCCTTTTCTTGTTGTTGCCTCAATCAGTGCCTTAGTTTCTGGAAGGAAGCCTTTATTCAGTTTTATAACGAGAGGCAGGCAAGGATCTTCTCGAAAATACATCTTTTCAGTCTAGAAAATAAATACAAAAATAATTAAAATATTACAGATTTGCGGAGAATTTGATTGTACGTCACTTCATGGTTTTTATTTTCGGTCCCTGCAACTTCACCACCGTCAAAGACAGTTTAGGTGCATTTAATAGCGCACTCACATCTTATGGCCTGATACCTTCCTCTTGTAGAGTAGGTACTTCGCACTACCAGAGATGAAAAATTTCGTGAAATTTATTCGCGACCAGCTAAACTAGTATCATATTGACACCAGAAGGGGGGAGAGAATAGATAGGCTTATCTGAAATGAGAACGGTGACAATACTATTATCACCAACCTTGATCTGTTTCGCAGGAGACTGCGAATACAGCCCCACGTGTTCTGGCCGCCTGGCACCCTTTGAATGGTGGGAAGTCTGCCTGGGGCGGCTCGTTGCTGTCTCCTGCCCGCTGGAGGGGGACGGATTCCATCGGGGTCGACCAGAATATGTGGGGGCCCCCGCTTGGGTCTGCGATGGTGGTGGCTGCAGGATAGCCTNGGGGGGGGGGGGGGGGGGCACAATGTGAGCTGCCACCTCCAGAGCTATGGGATGGCCCGGATTCCCCAGCCAAGATTGGTTGTGGGCGGGGTTGCTTCTTCTTGCCGCCCCTAGCAGCGGAGACGGTCTCAAGAGGTGGGTGTAGGGCCACACTTGCGTCGTTGCGCTTAACGGAGCGCAATATCCGGATGTCGTCATCCTCTGAAGAGGGTGCAGACGAGTGTTGGGGGGCGGAGGGGGTGTGAGGGTTGTACTGGTAGTTCTACCGAAAGGACTTCAGGCTAAATTCACTATCCTCAATATGTTTGAGGAAGTCCGGGAATGTAGGGGCTTTGCCCGACGGGTTGTGGCCCGTGACTATCCCTTCAGCTTCATCGATGACTTCGCCCAATGTTTGGGCATCCACCATCCGCTCAACTGCTGTGCTAGTCAACTCGATGATTTCAGCAGCTTCTGGGGTGGCGATTCCATCGGTTAACATTTCGATAGCACCGCCAACAGCTGCTCCAGCAACCAACAGTGAATAGATGGCCTTAAATCGACCCGTAGACATTCAGTTCTGGTCGTTGCATTTTACTAAACTGTATGGGCTCATCATTATGGTAACAATGAGTTTTGATGTAATCAGTCAAAGTGCAGAATATAGTATGAAGGAGTTCAAATACTCCTCGGCCACACTTACGTCGTTTTTATACAGATATTTTATGATATATTATATATTAGATTTTTTATAAATGACTAATAATTACCAATTTGGCCTTGATAAGTTTTTCTCTCGTGGTTCGGACCAGAGACAGTTGAGACTCTAGAGGACTAATTTTTTCTATAGACCGCCCTATTTCGGCTGCCCAATTCAACAGGTCCATACCTAATCGACGATTTTCCATAGCATCGGCAATTGTGTTTACTAACCGTTGCTCTTGTTCAATGTTTGAGGACAACTTTCGCTGAAGGAGTGTCTTTACCTTTCCACCAATTTTGATAGAACCTCTCCATCCGCAGCTTCCATCTGCTCTAGGGCTCCTGGACCGGGGTTTTCTCCATCTCTAAGCATTTCCAAGATTGTGGCACGTAGAGTTGGTTTTTTTGTCAATAAAAGTATATTGGCTTTTTCTAGTGTCAAAGAAGCAACTAGATCTGCAATTGTTCTGGCTAACGGTTTAGGGAGTGTCGTAACACCCCTGTGCCTCAGATCTATCTGTTTCTGATCTCGGCTACCTTGTATTCCTTGAAGTTTCGGCGTTCTTCCTCTATCTCCAGCGATGCTCGGCAGTAAACTAGACCACAATAAACGAGGCAAAGCATTGAACGAATTTGATATGCTCCGGGCAATTGCCCACGTAATCCCAAGTAAGGCGCTTGGCTAACTGTTTCATGAATATTCCGATAATCCAATTCACGTTCAGTTTTTTTGGTAAGGTAATCTTTGACGCGTCTTTTTATAATGTTAAGCGAGTCGCAGTAATTTTGTTTTTGTCCTAACTCATTTTCATTAAATTTAAAATACAACTTTAGAACGTTCACAGACAGCGTGAACGCCCGAAATGGGAAGACATTTTTGAGACAATATCCAAGCGGATATAGCTCATTCTTACGTGCTAGTTGAAATGTTTACTTTTCGAGAGTTCGAATTTATTTAGACGATTCACTCCGAAGATAATGTCTTTTGGTAAAATTTCACTAAGATAAATACATTTTAGAAGTCAATTCAATTTTTCTCTGACAAATCACGCAGTCTTGTACAGTCATTGCGCACTCTGTGCAAGTAGCCAAATGCTTACACGGAAAAAAAATAATGTTTCCCTCTTTATCCATACACACCGCACAAATCATTCCGTTTTCCGTTATTTTTATTTCATTGTTTATTTTCGGTAGCGGTTTGATTTCTTTTAAGCTTTCTAGTATTTTCTCTAAACACTCGCTACTATACCTGTTTGTAGAAAATAGCAGTCTTTTGAGTAACGCGTATGTTCAATGATTGGTACGTCACAACGTTCAAATTCACCGAGATAATTCCCACACGAAAAGCAAATCACCATGTCCCGAATATTTGCATAAAAAATGCCTGACGCAGCCATTTCCTCTGCTGTTTGATTGAGTCCTGGTAGCCAAAAGTTGAATGACTCCAACCGTTTCTCGTAGTCAATAAAGTCCGGATGAGCTGGTTTTTTGTGAGCATTCAAGTATTGGTGGACTTGAGCATCATCTTCGCCAGTCGGGTGTGTTCTGGTGCTCGTCTCTTCAGCCATATTACTCTTTTTTGTATCTTCTAAGAGGAGTGAGGCGTGTGGGTCTTCTTAGTTGATTCGTCGAAGAATCAAGTCTTTTGTGGTGACTAGATTTCCTTCTATCCTGTTTTTAATAAGTTCAGCGGATCATTATTTTTTGTTGAATTTTTATTTCTAGCATAGCACCTATGTATATAATCGTACTCTGAAGTCGTTCGCGTTTTTGAATATTGCGTAATTTTATCGCGCACTAATTGCAATAAGGGGGTATAATATTTAAGTTCTTTTAGCGAACTCTTTATTTTGTTAAACCTTTGTCTCACTAGATCATTTTCTCCCGCCATACATAATAAAGTATAGGTTTCATAGTTGTTCTTTGACTCCATTTCATATTTCTGATTTAATAAAATTTAGACTAGATATCCTGCTATCCTGTTTTAATAAATTCAGGGTATTAGTATTATGAGCATTAAATATTTATTTCTAGCATAACACCTGTGAATATAATCATACTCAGAAGAAGTGCCAAAAAATCGAAAAATGGAGATAACAAGGCAGATGCTCTGACCTATGAAGAATATGAGTTGTCCATCAGAAATAATGGTACTGTAATTTTTTAAAACGTCCCAACAGTCTTTTCAAATCTACAGAAATAATAAGAGGAACCCTGAGGATTCATTGTTACCAGCTGTATTAGTTTCTTGTTGTTGCCTCAATCAGTGCCTTAGTTTCTGGAAGGAAGCCTTTATTCAGTTTTATAACTAGAGGCAGGCAAGGATCTTCTCGAAAATACATATTTTCAGTCTAGAAAATAAAGACAAAAATAATTAAAATATTACAGATTTGCGGAGAAATTATAAGAGGAACCCTGAGGATTCATTGTTACCAGCTGTATCCTTTTCTTGTTGTTGCCTCAATCAGTGCCTTAGTTTCTGGAAGGAAGCCTTCATTCAGTTTTATAACGAGAGGCAGGCAAGGATCTTCTCGAAAATACAT